CCGTTAGAATAATGTTGAACCTTTTATGTTGAGGCATGTGAAAACCTTTTTCAAACCTATGATTTATTTTGATATTGGGAATACTAGATGAACCATATAGTTGGAATTATGATGTTTGGTTTTATAAGATTGAATATTCATGTTGAGTATTTTGTCATGTGATATGATTGGGTTAATGAAAACCTTGTGAAAATCTGGGTAATAAATTCCCGTGGGCCCAGATATGACTTGGGTTAAGAAAAAAAAATGTTGTTAACACCCATTGGGTTTCGAAAATGATCTCGAAAAATTAATGTTGATTTTGAAAATGTCTGAAATTTCTTTAAAATCATAGTGGGGTGTTAGACGGGCAGACTATCGCGCGCGTTGCACTGGCGCGCTGGGACGACGGCGAAGCAGAACGATGCACGTGTTGGTGTTATATACTTAAGCTTTGGTTTAGTGGATATTACACTTGTTATTTCTTGATGAATGAGAATTATGTTTGGTTAAATAAGTTCCACGTTCTGTTGTTTTGCATGTAGATAAGTGGGTCGTCATCGGGCGTACCGAAGATCACTATATCAGTTACTTGCGAAACAAGAATCATTGGTTCACAACCAAGATGGAATTGAACACCTCATCGGAACGGTTGTAGTGTCAACCGTACGATTTGTCTTGACCGAATAGTTGCACTAGTACATTTATGTATTGAACAGGATCCCATAGAGGGATATTCGTTTTATACTGATCATCGTAAACGAACTAGGCCTCAGTTAATTATTGCGTGCTCTTAACCCGTAAGATATTAAATAGGCATGTGCACATAATTGTGGTTGCTTTGATTCTTTGGGTGAGATCCAAGCCGGGTCGACGTACTTAATGAATTGGGTAATGACATTATGTGTTCGATGTGCTATTAGGATATTTATGGTCACCATGTGCGTTAGTATGATGATGTCCCCGAAGTGAGTTCATGAAGGAATATTATGCTAAACCCTGTAGGTGGATTTATTCCGGCATAATATGAATGCTATGAGCGAGCGCTAGCTTCGGTAATATAATATATTAATTAATTCTTGATTATTAGGGATTGAATTAATTAATGGACATTATATCTTAAACATGGGGAGGTAAATCGGATAATTATAATAAGGAGTCTCAAATGTAATTTGGGATAGGTGAGGGGAGTGCAATAATATTATTGTGGTGGACTTTAATATTATTAATATATTAATTGTGGGGTTGCTCCACAGTATTAATATATTAGAAGCCCTTATCCTATTCTCCTTAGGAACCCTACTGTAGCTATATATATATACAGCATTAGGCTCATGGAAGAGATGGAACAATCCCATAACCTTGGGAATTCGTCCGCTCCCTCTCTCTCTCTCTTCCAAGGAGTTGTTCTATTTCTTGTGCTCCACTGATACAAGATCTAGATAGCTGTTTGAGAATACAGTAGAAGATCTTAAGGTATATAC